TCCTTATAATCGGGAGAAGACTTCTCTCCGGCTGACTAATCATCTTGCCATTTTTATTGCAAGATCAGTATCAAGAGGCAGCAGCTCCCAACTGTTTCTGCTCCCTGGGTGTGCACTTGTGTGACAGAAAGAACAGCTATATGAGCAAGGAGAACAGGTGGAGGATTAGCAAACTCATTTACAAGGTCAAGACGGCTCCAACCTAGGGGCACAGGCGCAGAAATGCTGAGAGGCCTCTGAGGAAAAGGCTGCTGGGCCCTGTTTTTGGGGCCTGCATGCTGCTCTTACAATGTTCCCAGACACAGAGCCCTCTCTCCACACCTTGCTGCATTGTCACCAGTACTTCCTGGTCATTATCAATCTGTCATAATTTCTTAGAGCTGCCATGACAAATTACCATGAACTTGGTGGCTCAAAACAGCAGACGATATTTCTCATGTTCAAGAAACCAAAAGCCTGGAGTCAAGGTATCAGCTGGGATCTGGGTGGAGGCTCCAGGGGAAGACTTTCCTCATCTCTTCCAGCTCCTGGTGGTACTCAGCACTCCTCCAGTACCCCTTGGCTTGTGGGCTCCTGTGGTCCTCAGCACCCTTTGGCTTGTAGCCACAGCATTCCAATCTTCTCTTCCATCTTCATATGGTTGCCTCTCCTCACTGTGTGTATCTCTGTCCTCTATGGTCTCATACAAGGACATTTGTCACTGGGTTTTATTAGGGGTCCTAATTAGGGGTCCTACCTTCTCAAGGGTGCCTGACTGAGAGGGGAAACAGGGACTACATCCAGCTTGCTCTGGGGCCACCAAGTCTCTGGCCACAGCAGCACCTGTCCCTGATGCACATAAATGCCCTGTTTCCTGGGTGTTCTGCTTATTTGTTTAATTTTATCACCTATAATAAAGAAAAAAAAGAGTCGAGAATCAAGAGAAGAATTGGAGACATTTCCCAGTTCATTCCTAGCTGGCTGTGCTGAGACACACATTGCATCCTGGTTCTGCAGCACCACTCACCCCACCTGCAGCACTCCCACTACTAGAGCTGGCGGCAGACATTGGGCTGACTGCAATATTACTGGTCTCTGCTTTAAGAAAACTCCCATGTACAGCTGTGCATCTCATGTGGAGAATGTGCTGGTCGAGACAGCCAGTTTCTGCTGATGCCAGGAACCCTGGCAAAGGCATGGTGGAGAACCAGAAATGGAAAGGTGACTGGGCTATGTGCTGGTGGCAGGAGGAAGTTCTTGGGTGTTCCTCAAGCTTCTACTCCTGGGCTGTCCCTCCCAGGAGACTTCCTTGTCCTGCTCCCTCTCCCCCAGACTAGTTTGAACCCTTCATCTGCTCCAATAGATATAGTGTCTATCGAGCTGCAGGACAATTGTCAGTTCACATTTCTGTCCATTGCAGCCAGAGGTAGAAGTAGATGTCCCACTTCCATATCTTAGAAGAAAGGTTTACTTTTTCCTTTTTTTTTTTGAGACAGGGTCAACAGCATCTTACTAGGTAGTCCAGGCTGGCTTTGAACTCACCATGTAGCCTAGGCTGGACTTTAACTTGTAATGCTTCTGCCTCAGCTCAGCCTCCTGAGTGCTGGGAGTAGTACCACCATGTCTAGCTTGTAAGAACTGTCCTTATTCTTTTCTTTTTCCAAGCTTGGCACATAGTAGGTGCTCAAAGTAGACCCGGTAAAAGGCGAGCAGGAACAACCATGGTCTTCCATGAGCTCAAGGCAGCAGAAGCACAGTCAGCGGGAACAGGGAGGGATGTGGAGCCCAAGAGGCACCAAATAAAGGTGATTTCATGCTTGTCACAAGTCTATATAAACTAGTCATCACACACCCTGAAAAGTGACCTAAACAGAGAGCATCCCCAGGACATGAACACTTTACAGACACCGTATCTGATCTTGTGTCTTTATCTTTCTCCTAATGGAAGCATCCATGCCTAAGGATATTTCCATTTGGACCAAACACATGCTGCATGTGTCCGGTGGGATGCAAGGCCCTGCATTCCTCGCAGACATACACATGAGCTCATGCAAGTCCCAGGGTGCTCATCTGGTCCAGATTGGAGGGAAACTATTAGCTGGATGGAGAAAAACACATCATGTATCAAGTTAATACCAAACAGATTTTATGACATAGTGAGACTGCTTTTGATAATCTACTAATATATCAGGGGGGGCTAATGAACTAAAAGTGAAGCAGCTAAACATTATGTCTTTGAGGTCTGGACAAGGTTTGTGTGGGCTGTAGGGATGACAGAAATACAAACAGACGCAGGAAGCTTAAAGCTGTCCAAATGCTCCCCGCAATCTTAAGACACAATCCTGTTATAACCAGAGGTGTATTTTGCCAACTCATCAGTGTAGACAATCTTTTCCTGGCTAAAAATCAGGGTGGACTTTTCCAGAGACAAAGATAGGATGTGCCCTGGGAGCTCCCATCCCAGAAAGGCATGGGTGGCCACGGGACGCCACCAGAAGAGGGACAGTGCATGGCAGTCTCCTATGGGACTCTCTCAACCTCTTGGTGGTCTCCTCATCAATGTCAGTAGCCCCCACTGATTGTCACTTGACCATGACAGTATTCCTGAAGGATGCCTAGGGCTTCATGGACTCTTGATGGATGTTTTAAATGAAAAGCATCTGTGTTCATCCTGGTACCATCTGGGGTTATGAATGGCAGTGTACCATGTTGGAATAAGAATGACTTGGAGATTCTAGTCCAACCGCTGATGATGTGCCCTCTGACAAAGCCATTCAATCTCTCTGGCTTCAGTGTCCTCATTGACAAGTGGGGATTACAATAATGAATGAGCTGAGAATTTTGGACTGCTAGCTAAAACCAATTCTAGCTGGAAGGAGAAGACAGGTGATTGCAAGAAAGGACAGTGAAGCAATGAACCCAGTGAAGTGAGTTTGTGCCCCCATCCTTGGAAAAGGCAGGGATTGAACAATTCCTCAGCAGCAGGAGCTGCCACTCATGGGACAACCTTAAGTCATTAGTGGTCAATTTTCGAAGGAAAGAAGCTGCCCAGCCAAGGGTCTCCCAGGTGCAATCAGCTAAGATCAGGAGCAGGAAGCACCCGCTGCCAGGGCTGCGATCTCTAGGCCTGTAATCACTAGAATCAGTGCTTCCTCAAATGCCTACCTGGAGAATGTGTGGGGAGTTGTTAGCATCTGTAGAAGCTTAATACAAGGTTTTCATGTGTTTATTTCTTTAATTAAAAAATCACCAACCAGGGCAGGGGAGGGTTGTGGTACTGTGTCTTGAGCCAGGGTCGAGGGCTGGCATGTGCAAATTTGTGTAATATCAGGACCTGGGAGGAAGTGAGGAGCACACCAGCCTGTAGAGGACAGAGACTGGAAAGGCCCCACCTCTTGTAATGCTGGCTGTGAAGCCCCCCTTCAGGTAGTTCCAGGCTGTCCCTGGCTGTGTGTGTGTCTGCAGGACACCCACTGAATCATGTGACAAGAGAAGGGATGTTATTGTTTGTGTTTGCTTCGGTTTTGATACGGGTTGTTGTTGGTGGTGAGGGTGTTTTATCATGTAGTATTTTTCAATATAATTGAATCCTTTTGTTGACATTGTATGAGGCACATTTTCTAAAGTATCTGGAAAGGAAGGAGTGCTGGACATTCTTAGTCTAACACCATCCTTGCACACACCATGTCTCCCAAAGGCAGCTGCCCTATGGTCTCCTACAGGAGATGTTGTCCGGATGTTCTCAGCTCTTCCCGCTCATGGCTGGAGGAAGACAGCCCCTGAGAAATGGAGCCACCATGCTGGTAAAGAATGAGGTACACACGTGATTAGCCTCTCTTTACTTTAATACGGGAAGCCAGAAGTGCAGCTCGGAAACAAATTCACTATTTCTGGATCTTGGCTGGCTCTGGTCTGTAGAAGACACTCCCTTCCTCAGTCAAGGGCTGTTTCCATGGCAAGGAATTCGCATGCTTTTTCACAGCTGCATTTTCTTTGAATCACGATTGGCAACTAGGCATTCAAATTTGCCTCTATACCTCAGGGACTGCCCTGGGTATGTGAAAAATTCCCCCATCTGCTTTGCTCAGGATGTGGGCAGATGAGGAAGTAGTAGCAGCTGATAGATATTATGTCTCTATTTGGCCGGGTGTTAGGGAAGAGCTTTTACTCTGGCAGAAGATGCTCCCAGTGCGGAGGGGGTGGTGGCTAGAAGCTTATCTCTGGCACCATCTACTTCTGCAACTGTCCCCAGGTCAGGGGGGCAGGCATGGGGGCGGGGAAGGAGCCCGGGGAACTCCTACCCTTTAGAGGTGAACTCTCCTTAAACAGAAAATTCTGTCACTTTACCAGAAGCTCCTGGGAATCTGTGAAGGAATGGAGGATTGCATTATAAAAAAAATTAAAAAAAAACATTTGTAGGAAAACAGATGCACCTTGAGATTACAGTGGTAAGTGAAATAAATCAGACACATAAGCTTAAATATTGCATTATTTCTTTTAGATGAGAAACCCAAAGGGCCTATAATTTTTTATGAACAATAAAAGACAATAATAAACAGAGAGATATATCTTTTGCAAATCGGAAAGAGATCTAGAGATGGAGGGACGAGGAGGCACAGAAGGACAAGAGAAATAAAAAGAATTAAGATAGGTAAAAAATTAAAAAGAGCAAAGCAAAAAAATTCAACTAATATCTGTCAGCCCCGAGGTGCTGTGCTGGGTGAATCATCATCACAGTGAACAATAGTAAGAACAGCTCTCATTTGTTTCTCCTTCCAGGTACCAAGAATAGTTTTAATTAATTACGTGTCTTAACTCATTTCATCTTCACAACAAATCAGGAAGGTATTTACCTGTCAGTACCATGCCTGTGTGTGCAGAAAAAAGGCACCAAAATGCTAAATAACCTTCCTGGAATTATCCCGGTAGAAAGTGGCAGAGATGGGATGTAAATACAGACAAGTTCCCAGAGCCTGAGTCTTATGTCACTATCCCCTAAGGCATGGTTTCTTTTCTCAAAGAGGTCACAGACAGATGGAGGCATAAACACGGATTGTCAGTACTACGTGGACAGAAGGTGATGGCTCTGTACAGATGCTCCGGCAGCAGATAGTCCAGTCCTTTGGACCAAAAAGGGCTACCTGGAGAGGGTGGTTTCCCACCAGAATCCTGAGGCGTGGGGAAGAGGAATGACCCAGGAGGTGAGGAAACCCAGGAACCTGGCCAAGGCAACAAGAATAAAACGAGGGCTGTGTGGGAAGGGGCCATGGGTAAGAATTCTGTACAATACAAGGAGGAGGAACAGCCCCTGTACCTCAGGCACCCGGTACAAGTTTGCTGGACACAGGCGCATCCACAGGGGTGTGGCCTTGTGGGCCAACTTACTGTCATGGCTATTGGGGGACTTTAAGCAAAGAAGTAACATGAGTTTAGAAAGATCACTTTAGTAATACTGCTGATAATTTTTTCTTGAGGCTGAGGAGGAAGAAAACGTGAGCTGTTCTTATGATTGTTTATTGTGATGATGAATCACCCAGCGCAGTACCTAGAGGTTAATAAATATTAGTTGAACGCCAATAGAAGTTGGTGTGTTTTCCCAGAAGTACTTTATAGGGAGGCCTTGTGCCAGTTAATCTTAATTGTCAGCTTGACAGGATTAAGAGGCTCCTGGAGAGGTGACTGGATCAGGAGGTGCTACACTTGGAAGTGGATTAATCCACTGGTGTTTATAGTTGAATGTGTGTTTAGGAGGCGGGGCCCAGTTAGAGGTGGACCACTGAGGGTGTGCATTTGGAGGGTATATGAGGTATGATGGAAATATACAGTGAAATGTTTAACTTTTAAAAAATCATTACAGTACAAGACACACAGCTATTAGTCCCCTCAAAAGACACCCTCCCCCACTAATTTGGCGTACATTTATCCCATCATCCTTGCCAATTTCTGAAGCAGTTCTGGAAGTCCTCTTTCATGAGTGTCCTTACAAGGTGTAGTAAAAAGTACAATGAATGCTGCTGTCAAGTGCCATCCAAAAGAAAGGCAGGGAGCTGGGGATTTAGCTCAG